GTTTCACCAAAATACAAAGAACAGCTGAAATAAATATTAATTTGAAACTTGACACACATACACATTCAAGACTATTCCGTGTCTAGTAACTGTGGAAGCGCAGTTAGCGTGCTCTTAAACGTTTATGAGCTCGCTCGCTTTCCTTCTCATCTTTTTATTGAGCTCTAGGACTTTTCTGCCAGCTTTTGTGGCCGCTGCCGATGTCTTGCCGTGTTGACTTAATGAAAGTGACGTGCAGGTAACAAATTCCTGTGATGCCTGCTGTGCATAACTTGGCTAAACATTTTCTTTACTTCCAGTTGACCGAAGGAAGATCATGCAAGTAAGCAAAACCTGGGTCCCGGCTCAACCGGAGAGTTATTCGTGTGAATTGAAGCCGTCATCTATATCAAAATGTAGGCAAGGCTTGTGGAAAATATATCACATGATTTCAGGGTGTGCTACTTGGACAATACGGCGGACATTTTGATATAAATTACCCCACAGATATCCCGATTTTTGTTAGTTGTTACAAACAGCCATTAAGCGATTCTACTCTAGATATCATCTTGCGGGCGTATAAAGCGTGAGTATGTCACGACGGCTGCCACATGAGCGCGTTTCACTGTTAGGTTATAAAAATTGCTTTCTCGCAAAGTAATAATGTGACAAAGTTAGCTAAGAATGCTCAGAGCACTGCGCGCCATTGAAATCGGCGAAGGACGGTAGGGAAAAATAAAAATATGACAACCGAAACGATTAATGGAATTTCATAAGTGAAAAGAAATTTCGTGTACTCACCGAATATGCAACCCCATTCATGCGGCAGCAACATGCGCGAGCGCGGCCAGAAGGTGGCACTTAAGTAGAAATAATTTAAAAGTTCGTTGCTGTCGCATTCAAGAGCGAAGATAGTCGCAATGAATTACTCCAGATTGAGGTAAGAGAAGAAGCTGACTTATTTTGTTATTTATAAATTAAAGAACAAAGTGTTCCGAGTTTAGCACATTAAACATCTATTAGAAGGAGTTCTTTAAGCAACATAAAAAGCGGCTGAAAATATGGCGCTAGCGCACTTGATCTAACAGAGGTCACGAAAACCTATACGAGATAGAAAGAAACCCAAATAACTACCTGCTCTATTTTTCGTATAATTTTCGTTCCCTCCTCCACTAATTTTAAGGCCACTTCTATAAAAAAAACTGTGTTTCCTGCTGGCTCTTTTGCGATAACTTCTATTAATATAAATACGACTGCGTCCGTATGTGTGTGTGTGTGCATAAAAAATGTGATATTGGCCACACGTGTGGAGCGAGAATTAATCAATTTAGGCTTCGCTGCAATTGTTTTTGCCTGCCGTTTCTTGCGTCTGGTGAGTGACAGGTGTGTGCGGCGCATATAAAAATGCCAGCAAAAATTCATCAAGCATTTCCATTCAACATATTCAAATTCTTTCAACTCCACGTGCACATACCTGCAAGTGCTCGCTGTGTGCGTGTGTGTATGTGAATAGTTCACAACGGCACATGTGTAGTCCGTGTCAGACAATAGCGGCAGCCATTTGCAACCGGAAATATGTGTATTAGCTGAAAAAAATTGCTTCCACACTTGCCGCACGTAATTTGGTTGTGCGCGCGTTGGGCTGCCGTTGTAATTGAATTCGCTATTGGAAAAGCGCTCAAAATGTTTCATCAAATATTCAATTCGTTAATATGTTGATGGCCGGCTTTTGCGGCTGTAATAAAATAATCAAACTGGATAAAGTTGCATTGTATTCGACAAATTGTAAGTGAACAATTGAATTAAGCAAAGCTGGCAAGCAAAAAGCGCAGACTTAATATATATTTTAATGCATATATTTTCGCAAATACATGTATGTAATATTTAAAGCTTACTGGTCCGTTCGTGCATACCACACCAGGCGCCAATAAATGTTGTTAAATTCCACAAAATGTTGCTGGGCTGAATATGGCAGCGTCCGCTTGCAGCTCTGGATGTATGACCCAGATCATTCTAAAGGGTTGATAATTTAAAAATTACTCACATATATCAGGAGAGCGAACAAACAAAACCAAACAGTACTACCATTGAAGCACTTCAGGTTTCAGGATTAACTATTTTCATTTATGCATTCTTCTTTCACATGCAATATAAATATAACATTCAATAAATTCATATTCACGCCAATTGCAGCAATTTAAATTCGAACCGAACAAACGCCAGCTTGGCGCTTAAATCCATACACATTACCCCTTCCCTCTGCGGTTAGACCAAATATGCGTAATAATAATGGAAAGCTGTGGACAGTTGCACCCAATGGAATGCTATTGGCAGTGATGGTCGAGAGTTCGAGCTGCACTCACCCTAGGCATCCTGCGTTCCAGCTTAATTGAAAAAGCATAATCCTTCTTACACTAATGTTTATGTATTATTTTACACATTTACATATTTGCACAAATATACATAAATCTCCATAATTAGTAGCAAGAACAGTCTGCAGAGTGCACTCGCCGCTTCACACACGTGCTTGCATGGCATACTAAATATTTGCACACTTGCGTGCATGCGGTTGCCACACCTATCATTAATCTGCATCAGCCGCACGCACCTGCCTGAATAAATACGAGCTTGTGAGCTTGTGAGTCTGCCCGGCGAGTGAGTAAATTCGATAATGCGTAATGTAAATTTTGCAAGAAAATTAGCAACATATAAACTTTGTAAACCGACTCCATTTGTGTGCATAAGACGACAGTGTTCACCGATGATTTATGAACGACAATTGGCTGGGCATTTGAGCGAATTAATCAAGTATTTGCAAGTAAATGCATTCGAAAACAGACTGAGTAATTATAAAATAATACTGCCGACACCCACACCAACCACCTGGTTGGGTTTCCATGTAAAACGTGACTTTGATAAGCTTTAACTAATTTGTGGCTGTGATTTCCGTTAATTGATGAGAAAGTTGTCTAATAAAACATTAGTGCATTTTAAAGTTCTTAATTTGGCAAAATATGAAAAAGTTTTTATATCACACTTGAGGACCCGTTCACGCTTCACTGTGGCATAATACTACTACCACTTATATGACTTCGATTAGTTAGATTTTATTTATTAGTTAATGAGATTTGAATGGTGAGTTTAGTTATGGTGAGTTCAGATATGGTAAATCAATGTTTGTCATCATATGGTTTTTGGAATTTAATTTAAATTTAGGATGATACTGAAGAGTAATATGAACAGTAGAACGGTGCAATCAAGTGGAAGGTCAGTATTTGTGAAGATGTATGGATTGCGGTGATTAAAAGTGAACTGAAATTATATTGCAACTAATATGAGCAGTATAACATGTGGTGAGTTCAGTTCTGGTGAAATCAGATATGCTGAGTTCCGATATTTTCAATTTGCTGTGTGTGTTGTGTGTATGTCAAATGTGGAAAGCAACTAATTGCTTTATACCCAAATATATTGATGTAACTGTCAGCCTTTTCCAGCAAATATAGTAAACACGTAATTTGGTTGCAATCAATATCACCTCATTACTGAAATGCTAGGTAACTAGGTAAAATAACTAGGAATCTTCCGTTTTCACGACTGTAATTATACTTCCAACACATAATTAAAATAATAATATCTGCTATTATCCGCGGCAGCTTTATCTGAAATTAACCCTGCACACGAACATGAAGCGGAGCATACACGATTTCTCGGAGCCTAATAAGGGATCTACGCAGTAACACGCCCTTCTAGTAACTTAGCGACCGCAAAGCGTTTGTGTCTAGGCCTATATACAATAAAGAAATAAGAAGAGGCAAACAGGGGGAAAGGGCATATGTGTGGGAAGCTATCCAAGCTAATTATTAAAGCGTTAGAAATCACAGTGATTAAAAAAAAAGTGATAGATAAAGTTTTCAGGCAAAACGATTAACGCACAAGCGATATCTTGCGTGGTTTCTCGAAGGAGTATCGGCTACCAGCGGCTGCAGTGAAATGAAAAGTCCCGAAGCTACGCAGATTTGCAAGCAACACTTGGACTGCGAAAAGGAACTGGAGAGTTCGAAAAGTGCGTTTGTTTTGTGCAGTACAGTTTGGAGGCTAGCTACTTAAGAGAACACCAAACTATTAAAGAGCGCTTTCGCTACGAATTTCGGACATATTCGAAAAACTCTCAGAGCGGCAGACGAAATGCGCGCTCCCGAGTTGAGAAAGTCAAGACTCCGTGCGTTTGCGTCAAGTGGCGAAAACTCTACAAAACAGAACAGCTGAGTGTCAATCGCGCGCGCGTGTGTGTGTGTGTGTGTGTGTGTAGCAGCTGTCAGTTGGGCACAATAGCTTTTTCAACAACAGCAACATCGACAACGACAACAGCAACAGCAACAGCACAGACGCACAGTTGAATTGAGTAGACGCGCAGTTGGTCGGACGTTCAGCGCGAGTTGAGGTGAATAAATCGACAAGAAGTATCGCCGGCAGCCAAATAACACGGTCGCTTGAACGGACGCTCGCCCACTCGGTCGCACTCCGCCACAGTTATTTACATATTTAATGGCATTATTTGTATTTTGTGGTGTTTTGTGGTATTTCCAAATTATTTCAGGCATTCTTCCATTGTACTGCTTGCCAAATTCGTGCGCGCGCTAAACGCACGCTGAAAAGCTGGAAAACAAGTTGCTGATAAAATCAATTCGCGGCCACAGCGGCGCGGTGCCGATGGTTTCGTATAATAAGCGAATTTAAGTGTTTAATCTAATCACCCATGCAACTGAAGTGCTCCAGAATTGTTAGCGTAACTTGCATTGATTAAGCGCATGGTTGGCGCAAATGTGTGTGTATGTTTTAGTGTTGTGTGTTTGTAGAATTGAAGTGTCTTTCAGTTAACGCGCTGACGGTTACGGTGACAACGAACCGCGGCTTCTGTACCTATACAGTCAAGGAATTGAGTAAATTTAAGCAAAAGTAAAATAAACATGCGTACATACACATATATTTAATATTACTACAAACTGCACCTAGGAAATATAGTCTACACATACGCATTAGTTGATATCCTAAACGAACAAACAAAAATCGAAATATTAATTCTAGTGCAAGCATGCTTTCTGGCTATAAATCCCAGCGGATGAGTTCCAGCTAAGAAACCAGCTAAATCAAAAATAGCATCAGGTGAGTACTCAGCTTCATTAGAACTAGTATTGTAGAACTTTCGCTTTCACTTTCTTTGACGATTTTTGGTTAAGGAAATGGAGTTTCCTTTCTAATCACCTCTCCGAAAAGTATAACTTGCTTACAAAGGAGCTCATAGCAAGTGATTTACTACGAATCATCATAAAATATATTCTCAGCAAGACTAAAGTTATTGCTAGAAGGTCTAGCGTATTAATTTCGATTCTCTCAAAACTTTAAAAATAAAGTAAAGTTATGTCTTTACTTTGCAAAGGGATAGTGTATTGGCTAGTCGAAAATGTATTTTCGTATTTCTCAAATTTCAACATTTTTTTATATTTATGTATAATAATAAATGAATGAACAAATAAGTACTATTTTTGTGGACCACTTTTTGCCATTTTTCCGCCAGAGAAATTATTCCATCAGTGTAAATCGAAATTTTGAAATTTCCAGAACGGAAGCCATTGAACCATTATTGTGCTACACGATCTGATGATACAGCATCTTCTCCGTAAACTTCACTTTAATTGGTGGCTTCCGTGTGATTCATCCCTTTTTTATAAAATAATTACAAAGCGAATTTCATTATTTTCGAACAGCTGTAACTTTTTTTTCAACCTCCCGAATTCCATTTTTTTGGGTTAAATGAAGTCTAAAATCTTACCTTTCCAACACTATAAGGTGTGACAAAATGTGATTGGTAGCACTGGAGATATACCACTGCAACGACATCTGTTGAGAAAATATGAAAGACTTTTTCGACTACCCATTGTTTATAAGAAATGTCCAGCAACATTCCATATTTGTTATTGTTGTTCATTTGAATTGCCTTAAGGGAGCGAAAAATACCAAAATTGATTGGCAAATGCTGGCTATATTTACTAAAACTCTCTTTTATTTCTGTATTGTTTTCTTTGCGCAAATAAAAAGTTTGGTTTGCAGAAAAATACTAAAATGATATCAAAAGAGAGAAAATAATTTGTTAAATTAAAAAGTGAGCTTATTTTTAACCTGAAAAGCCAATAGCCTTAGGGGATGGCCAAAATAAATTACTATTTTGGCGGCAGTAAAAATATAGTTTTACGATTTGCTGTCGGCACGGACGGCACACATTGCTTGGAGTAAACAAACACTGGAAGTTAAAAAACCGAAGATATTCTGCGACTGTAACCCATTTGCTTGTTTACGGTAATTTAAATTTTAATGCTTTCCTATGTGTGTGCTGTGCTTTCTTTTTGACATATCTTCGCCATAAAAAGTGCGCTGAAATCTAGCAGTCAAAGTCCCCTCTACCCCAGGTTTTTGTTTGGTATGCGCGCTGGCTCGGTGCTTTGCAGATTCCACGCTGCAAACGGATGTATTTATTACCAAACCAATACGCGTCACAACAACAACAATAGATGCTGACACATACAACAGGCTGCGTAGACATAACAGACATAAACTAGAAGTCAATCGTGAATTCATAGACCGTGACCAAATGGCCAAAGCGGCGCTACATTGTGCTCGCTGGAGCAGGAGCAAGTGGAGTGTAAAGATTGAGTCTTTCAGTATTAGATCGTCATATGAAATAGGTTTGGAGAGTAGCCGCGAGGGTTCGCTCGCAAATACAAAGACTGGAGGAAAGTTACCCACATATCTACGGTGAAATAACGGTAGGCTCTTGAATCATTGTACACTCGCCTGTCAATGGAAAGGTGTGTTTGGTTGTCTTATTTACCTTGGCCATAAGCGACGTCTGGCTCTACAAGTATGCACACCTACACAAGTGTATAGGTGCGGGGTCCTGTCACGCATTTCTGCCTACAATACTGCTGAAGCCAACAACAACAAAAATTGGAATTTCTTGGCTCACAGAGTTTTCCTCTTCACGTGCTTGCACTCAGATTGGAAGGCTGAAATATTTGCCGCAACATATCCCAAGCGTCTACAGTTTATGTGTTTTGTGAAATCCTCAAAGAGTGGATTCTCAGATGAAAGCGAAAGGAGCTAAGCATGCGGAAGCATTGTCTTCATTTTATTCGAGTTCTTAGTGAGAGCTCCATTACGCCATAATTTGCAACGCTTGACTCAGGTAAGACCGGAAAAGAGTAGTATTGGATACAAAACAGAAGAATGGCGGAGGTGCAATGTGGATGGTGGAAAATAAACATTACTGCTCTGCGGAGCCGCATATAAGCAAAAGCGGCAGCAGCAAAGCAAAGGCAAAAATAGCGGTAACAGGCATTGACTGTGTTTAAGCAACAAAATTGTTATTTCGGCTACTCTGGCGTATACGTAACGTGCAGTCAAAGTTGTGAGATTAATGTGCGCTAAGGCTTTTGGCTGTGCTTCTAACTACAAATGTATATATATTAAAAGATACCAGCTCATGCTAGCAAACATAGATTTGGTATTTGTTTTTTTTTCACACCATCGGCTGAGTGCAGTGTCGATCGAACAGTTACGAATATTTGTTTTGAGGGCTTTACAGTAGCAATTCTGAAATTTGTTAAACTATTTCATACCAAAAACCAACTACTAAACGGTGTTGTATATAAATATTTTATGCGCTCCTCATAACATGAAATAAAGAAAGATTTTCTGTAAAATTAATTTTCATGTCGCTCTGCGAATACGATCGTACACACACCTACACAACTTCATATTATTTCATTAATATGTAAAACCACATTTGTACTATAGAAAAACCTAAAAATTTAGAGACATAAGCTATGCAATATTTCATGGCCGCTGTGGGGAAGATTGTATTCCAAAGCAAACATGAAAGTAGTCCAGAATAAAATATTAATGAGCACCCAAAGTGTTTTCGGCAGTTGCTCTTGCGTGTTGCTACAGTAGACCTTTCCTGCAGCTACACGGTCAATGTCTCGCAAATGTTGTTTATTGTTCAAAATATAACGCTTTCAAAATAGTCTAAAAGCAAATCTAAGACGCTGACAAGAAATGAAATTATTCATTATACGGTTGCAATACCTTTTTACACCCAAAATGGAGTTTATTAAGTTTACCAGGATTTTTATAACACCCAGCAGGAAACGTACGAGACCCCTTAAGTATATACAAGTATATACAAACTAGTGGATCCGGCCACGCGATGCTGTGGTATACATTTTACACTATTATTCATATAATAAACTATTCAATACAGTGAAATTTTTATTTACGAATAAAGTCAAAAGCGTTTTTGTCGGTATATGAATCCAAAGGATTGTACTTGGGGATTAATTTTGAATATCATTATACAAATATGTTGTCTCAATGTCTGGTTACCAGCCTTTCTGTCCAGTTAATAGAGTTGTCCGATTGTAGATTGCACTTAATAAACATCAACAAATTGTGGGATCAGCCAATATGCATGGTCAATGGAGGTGTTCGCTTAATAGAGCTTTCACTTAATAGATCTTTCACTCTATTTTACTTATATATGAATTGTTTTTACTATCCTATCTTCTAAGCTGGGTCAAACTGCATACAGTGTGCTAAAATTGCTAAAATTGCTAAAATCGGTTAAATAGTTTATCAGTCTATCGCGGACAAGGAACATGACACGTAATTTTTATATATAAAGGTAGTTAGCGTGACGACCTGTGTCTATTTAGCCATTCTCGTCCGTCTGCCGATCGGTGTATCATAGTCCCTCATGTTCCTCTTCTCCTCAAGACCTAAACAAAATCAAGTTCTTGTCGGCTAAAAGCTAAGGTAGCTACAAGATTTTTCCTTCTTGTTTGACAAGACAATTTCACAAAATTTGGCATGAATACATGCCTAATGCAACAATATAGGCTCCAAATAAATTATTCAGATCGAATTACTATAGCGTAGAGCTGCAATATAGCGTACCGATTATGTATGTAGACTTTTTTATTTATGAAGAGTATTATGGCTTCAGTGCAATCGAAGTAAACGTTTTTATTGTCTCAATTGAAGCATGGGCTTTCCAAATACCTGAGTTTCTCGAGATTCAGGAATATAAAAAAGCCAAATATATCGGAATCTGTAAAAATATTGGGCCAACAAACTTATTCCCTGGGCCTAATGGGGACTTTCGTGCGTCCACTTACGGTCAGATGTTCCTCGGATCTGCCTTTTTAAACTTTGAAGGTTAGTATGTTCCAGTTCCTACCAAACGCCATTTTAGTACCCAGCTTCTCCTCAGTACATGGAAAAGTTTCGTGGAATCACTCTCTCGGCGGTACACAGAGTGCGTGACTACGCAGTCTCACATGCTATCAGAGATTCACAGTTGAGGATGTCATCGTCATATTTCTAGTTATTGTTGCACTTGCTGCAACGCAGCGACGCAACAAGAACGGTTAATCTCTTTATACATATATGAGTGAGTTTCGTGCGAAAAGCGCACGCAATGTGCACTCGGGATATTAAAATGTCACCCTGTGGCGCAAAGCGGCAAGACACAAAATCAAATCCTCAGAGTCGACAAACACACGCCGTTATACCGCGTGCATACATGCTGCCACATGCAGCTATGCAAGCGATGTAGTCATATACGTATCCGATATGTATAAAGGTTTACGAATGCTTGCCGAAATATTCAAATCATTTAAACGTGTGCTGAAATATTTTGGCGAAAATTTTTAAAAGCTAAAACCTTGAGTAAAAACGTGATTGAAGGTTCGTGCAGCTACGACGCTAGAATGCAGATTAGAATTAAGGCATTTTTCACTTTCAAAGAGTTCGCTGGAAACACTACTATTCATAATTATTCTCCCATAGTACACCTACTATCCATTCTGAATCCTGCTGTTTTTATAAACCTTAGATACTCTTCTAACTTAAATTACATTTTCATTGCAAATAAACCATGACGAGAGCTCATATTTTCTTCGAGGAATCCATTGAAGCGTTTTCTGTTCAAGGACCAGTTACTTGTGTGCACTGTCCTGCCTTAACATTTACCTTTACATTTACAGATGCTGTCCATTGAAAATCATTCAACGGCAAGACTTGTCGGAGCAAATGAGAACCATGAGACGATAATAATTCAATAGCAATAAACTGCTAGACAGCATAAGGAGCTGACGTAACAAGCAACGTGAGTGCATCAATAACACCAACGCCAGCCAGAGTGAAAACATTTCGACGAACAAGACCACCAATAACAACTACGATAGCAACTACAACTACATCTACATTAACAACAATACTATTGATAACATTAAGAGGCAGCATTACATCAACACATTAAACAGAAGCAGCACACCGCGCCCAATTCAATCGATAGCGTCCTCACTCATCTCCACTTTGCGCCAGCACTACCTCGAACCGTCGCTCACAGCGCCCGCCAGCAGGCTAGTAGCATGCTGGGTGATATAATTTCACCGTCAATCGCAACTTGGAGCACAACGCAACACTTCTACACCGACCTGGACGTTGAGACGCCTGTGGTGCACGGCGCCGCCGCCACCGACCTGCATGTACCACTCCTGGACAGCTACGACATCTACAACAAAGTGTACAGCAATGCTACATCAATGTTGTTCGACGCCAACGAAACGAGCGCATATCAAATTGTATTGAATGGAACAAGCGGCAACTTGAGCAATAGCAACAACATTTTATTGAATCTGGGCGATGGCGGCGGCAACACTGACGGTTTCATCACATTCAACGGCAGCGACGGGGTGCGGAATGCCAGCAGCAATATTGTTGATGTGTTTATAGGTGAGCGTAATGAGTTTGATGACCAGCAACTGGATGATATTATGGGCTATGGCGACGGCTTTAGAACGCGGGAGCCGACGGTGGCGTTGGTGAAAACGATTGCCATGTCCATTGTGTTGGGTCTGCTCATCTTCATAACCATAATAGGTGAGTAGTTGGCAAACAAAAATGCATATTAGATAAGTATGAGTATGAGTGTGTGTGTATGTGTGTAGCTGATTACTTTTACACATTGAATGAGTTCTTTTGAAAAGAGTTGAGAGCTATGGACTGCGAGCGCAGCTGAAAGAATAAATTTAGTTAGGTTCATGCAAATTTTCAACTTCACTAACTTCTTATTTATATTCATATGAGTTTCCTACATTTAATATGTATATATAATTTAATATTGAAATAGTTTACACATTCGCTGATCAGTCCGCTGGAAACTGTATATTTTACACACCATATACTTTTTTTTTTTACTAGAGAAAGAGTACCGACTGGCTGTTAACAGGAGAGGAGATGTGTTATGCTTTGTTAAATCTAGTCATTTCTTCTAATGTATATAGAATATCATATCTCTGCTGATTATCTACGCTTCTGACTGGCTGAATCATTGAGTTCACGAAAACAGAAGTAAGTGGTTCAGAGCTGACATTTTTGGTTTGGTGAGCATCCATAAATTTTGAAATCTCAAAGGAAATTAGCGTCTTCCCTCCAGAAGCTTTGCGTTATTTATATATAATAAAAATCGACTTTCTGTCAAATGCCAGCCCGGTACAAAAACAAGCGTGTGTCACAAGCATTATGCACACTATATTAAACAACATTTACAATACAAATGCTGAGGCTTGCGAGCTTCTTTGTGAAATTAATCAACTTAAAGCCAAGCCATTTAACGCATACAATTCAGAATTATTTCAGTTAAATTTAAAATAAAAGCACAAAATTTCTTCTTGGTGTATGTGTGTGTATGAGTTTTATTGAAATTTTGCATATTTATTATTGTTCCGTACAAATAGTTAGGGAATACTGCGCTGTCTTAGGTATTAAATCGTGAAATATTCCATTCGATTTGATTAAACTTTATTGCCTATTTCCGACTGAAATACAAATCTCTTGTTGAGCGTTCGAAGTATTGAAAAAACTTCCTAAACCTTGGCTTGTAAGCTTTAGACTTTTATATACTCTGAATCTAAGCAGGAAGTTATATACTTGGGAGTATGCATATACTTCCTATATTGAATGCATTAGGGTGATTCTCAATTTGCGAAAACGAAATATTTATCGGAACTTAGAAATCGAGGGTGTACATGTACATATGGTATAACAAAAATTCTGTATAACCAGTTAGTTAACCACTTTTCCAGTTATTAAATCTTATTCACTACCAAACAGCAGAAAAGCACAAACATTTCTTTTTGCTTTGCAGGAATTTTAACACATAAATTCACAATTTTTTTATTATTTGCTAATTGTAGAAATATTTTCCAAACAATTAGCTTYATTCTCGTATTCTCTTTTATTCCATTTCTTCCTTGTTGCTAAGAATAAAAGGCATGAATCTAAATTGCTTCCTTAAAATGAAAAATAATCTCAAAGCATAAAAACTAAGTTCCGCTCATGTTTACTTACATCTTTATTCTTACATTTCTTGTTGTTCTTTTTGCATATATATTTGTTTTTGATTTGAACAACTCTCTCCTCACAGCGAGGAAGTATAGCAATCCAAATGGAATTGATGTTTTTATATGACCTTTTTTATCATCACATCGATAATATTATCCCTAATCCCTAGGTTATCTGGACGATAACTTTAACTGACAGAACCATTTCCAWTATTGTAAGATGTGGTTAACTGACGTACAGATAGTTAGATTACTGTGAACTCGCAAAACTGTGACCACGTCATGGGGAATGTACTATATGTGCGTGTTCAGACGAGGACTTCTTTTTCCGTTTAGCAGACTTTGTGTCTTTTTCCGTAACAGCTTGCTTCTACGCAATTGTCAGCCTCATCTTGCGGGCGCGTGGCACCACCAGAAAGTGACTAGTTAAAACTCCCATCATGCTCCTATAGTCTCTTACAGCGAGTGCCAATAGAAATGCTGTGCATTTCCGATATACCGTTTTACACATGACTTTTGTAGTTTTGCTCCCTGGAAGCTCATTCCATCGGGTTTTGATTTTCTTTACCATGCTTTTATCGAGATCGTCATATAGACCTGTCTCTTATACACATCTAGATGTGTATAAGAGACAGATGCTGCCTTGATTGCTGCTTGGCTGTCTTCGTAGATGTTGACTCCGGAATTGCCTGCAGGTGTATATTAAATCATAATTAAATAAAATATTATATTTTTTAGCGAAATCCTTAAAGAGCGAAATATTTTTATTTTCACTGTCCAATTGCTGATTTTTCTCAAATATACTAAATTTGTACACGAAATATTTCATATCAAATAATTAAAAATCGAATCTAGTCTTGAAGACTGTGCTGCCCTTATTTATATCGTTTATATCTAGTATTTTTCGGCTTAGCAAAGGACTTTGGTACAGCTATTAACCTTCCGCACAAAAAAATGTCCAACCAACGATGATATTTCTAAGACTTGCGCTGAGCAACTAGAATGTTAAGGTCAAGAAGGCGAAAAGCTCTCGAGAMACAAAAAGTGTTAGAAACGAATTGAATTCACTATAATTTACAATCACGGTTACGGGCAGGGCATATTTGTGAAAAATACTTTATCTTTTATATCTGCTACACTGCCGTCTTCAAAGTCAACATCTTCATTGCACTCATTTTTAGAAGAAAACACATATCAGCCAATGTGTGTTATTTTTTGCATTGCTTTCCCTTAATCTTAAGATTTATTTACTTTARATAAGTAGCTTCTGTTGACTGCCTTCTGTGTCTTTATTACTTCACTTTTGTCAGACTTTGGTTTTACCCAGATTCCGAGAAATTGTTTCGTRTCCTACTAGAATGTGCAGCTGCGAATTATGTATACACATATATGGCACAGTGAAACGGAGGAGAGCTTAACTCTTTTTGTCAAAAATGGCAGACATTATGCTAAGAAAATTTCTATAGTCTCTTAAAAACTTTGTATAGTTGCTTTCTTTTATCATTTGGGGAAAGGCCTTAGGCAATGTGTAAGTTGAAGATTTTCTTTAGATTAATTAAATAAAGTTGATTTCCACTCCTAGTAACGTGTGCGGCCTGGCATTGTCCTTATGGAACACAATTCATCTTCTATTGGCCAACAATGGTAGCTAACGGCCGATTGCTTCCTTCAAACGGTTGAGTTTTTGAGATTACAGACTTGAATTAAGAGTTTGTAAGGACGAAGCTCATAGAAGATGATTTTCTTCCAATTTTATCAAACCCATAACAATAACTTCCTGACGGTTTATTTTTCCGCCGTTTTCTAAAAAAACTGTGAAACATGGCATATTTTCCCWGTGCCGGTGTCTATCTTTAACGTCTGTTCAAACAAAACTGATTTACGCAATCGCAGATGAGTCAATCATCAATCTGTCGGAAAGAACTTTTAGTAAAAATGTTATGCGAGCATTTCTAACGCAAACCGAGCACGAACCCTATCGCAGCAATAATATATGGGATATTGATTACTAAAGCACCCATATTTGCCCTTTTTTCGTAATAGTGAAACTGCGAGTGTGCTCTGTGATCTGTTTTGGTGGCTGTACAGACTACTTTCATACCAACCGCTCACCCCCTCTCATGTGTATGCAACAGGAGCATAAACTGAAAGTAAAAACAAAAACAATATAAAACAAAAACGTAGAATTCAGAAACAAAGAGCATTATTTGTGAGGAATTGCCGTGGAAGAGCAAACACAAGAATGCATAAAATGATGAAAGCACTAATAAATACTCACGCTCGTCTCATGCACTTGTATAATTTATGTACTGTATGTGTAAGTGTGTATGGTTTCTGAACGCAAGATTTCAGCTTAAAATATTTCACTCATCCAAAGCTGTGGCGAGTGGATACACTTGTACAGGGTGAGTTGTTATGCGCAGAGGCCAAATGAAGTATCTTCTCCTATTACAGGCAACGAAATAGCTGAAGCCAGTGTTAGTGTAACCTTTTCCCTCGAACTTCACTGCCCACTTCCAAGACACCTACTTGCTGCTCTTGTTTACCAAGAATATTTGCCAAAAATCACCCATTTTTCGGCGTCTTCAAAGCACTCGGCGCCACCCTTTATAAGCACAAGTGTGTGTGGATGTGCTTGGACTGGATGGATGTTGGACAAGGTTAAACTGCCATCAACCTGTCTCTTATACACATCTAGATGTGTATAAGAGACAGGTGTGGATGTGCTTGGACTGGATGGATGTTGGACAAGGTTAAACTGCCATCAACTAAATGAAAACGAAAGTTTATTCATCAGCACACCAACACACCAACACACGCACATAATTGCATTTTTATGTGAACAAGTTTGGAGAATGCGACGGCAACAAAAGCGTCATTTGCACACAGGCCCAGAGACTTTGCGTTCGGCTGTTTGTGAGCTTGTGCGCCTGTGTGTTTGTGTGAAGAAGTGAGAAAGTGTTGACAGCAAATCGCTTTTGAGATTACTTGTTTGCGTGTCTGCATGTGTGTGTGTGTTAGTGTGTTTGTGTGAGGGCGCCTTGCGGCAGGCTCTGCAATAAATAGACATGCGGGAGCATTTACGTGTGTGTGGCTGTGTGCAAGTGTGCTAGGAGGATGTATTTGCAGTGCATCGGTTGCATGTGGCTTGTGAGTTGTTGCCACCGCATTTGATGTTGCATCGTGTTGACTTGAGTTGAACGAAAAGTCATTAAGTGCACCAAGGTGTGCTGTGTGAGCGCAGGAACACAAACAAGCCGACTATTTGTCTTGATTTACACTCGCACTCGTCTGCAGCCGGGCACATACTCACCATTATACGTGTGTGTATGTATGTGGGTACGTTGCAGTGTAGCACATGCATTGTGTCGGCATTAAGAAGCAGTTTACTCAGAGGTTATGAGCTTCGGGTACTAAGTTACTTTTGCATTATGAGCAGAGACATAAAACGCTCGTAAAAACCTGGAAATGAGCCACTCAATGCCACAGCGCTGTGCACCGCTAGGCGTGCATATTTTTGTTTTGTTAAATTTTAGTAACATTTATTTCTTATTTATAGGGTTGGCAGTCTCTCTCCGCGCCGTGCGCCCTAAATATAGCTGAGTGCCAGCGAGCTTACTTGAATTCGTAAGCAGAGCGAAAGCAGTGACATTCAAAATCAATTTCCTTAGCCGGCAGTCACGGCGAAGTTCACGGCTGTTTGGCGCAAAAGTGTTTACTGACCCTGGGCTAAGGTTAAGTGCCAGTCGCCGTGACAACGAACGAATGCATCAAAATAATAGATATGCGAAGTAGACTTACTCATTATGTAGGCAAAGCGAGAAATAGAGAAATGCTAATACAGAACATTGAGAGTGAGAGCGGTTTTCAAGAGTTCTCATACAAAAACAATTTTCACTAAATTCGCGAAAACTGTTGTATTGCTGTTACTATACTCTGAACGGAGCATATTAATTTTGCCACGATGGTTGTAAAAGTAAACGTCGAAGACCATTTAAGTATACACAAATGTATATAAATGATCAGCGTGGCGACCTGAATTGATTAAGTGATGACCTTTGGTCCGTCCGTTCGTCTGTTTATATATGARTTAAAGAGATWTCGATCTGAAATTTGCCTAAGTCCCTTCCTCACTAAAAAGCAGCTCAGTTGGCGGAACCCCCAATTTCGTCCACCAAAGAACGATCAAAATCTTCACAAAATTTATCGGGGATTGTTATCTGAAGTAACAGTATAATCTCCGAGAAAATTCTTCAGTTCGAACCACCATACTATTTAGCCGCCACAAAAACTAAACGATCGGAATAAAGTGCTTATATGGAAAGTTTTTCATTTGATGAGACATATTCACCAAATTAGCATGGGTAATTTTTAAAGTCAACGGTGTAGTCTTCGCAAAAACTATTCAGATCGAGTCACTAGGGTATATTGCTGCTGTGATTTGTATTATCGATGTGTGATACACTCGTGAGTGGTGTACAATGTGGATTGTAAGTGGTGAAGTTTTCGTATCAGTGTTGTGAGTTTGAATCGATGTTGTGTGCTCGTGTGGTGTGTATGTAAAGTTCGGAGATGAGGTTCATTTATTTGGACCAATCAAAGTTCTTGTAATGAATCTTTTGTGTTTGTGATAGGTATTATAGCTTCGACACAATCGAAGTTAGCGGTTATTTTTTGTTTCTTATTAACATAAATCATTGAATGTGAAGATTATAAAGATTAAGTCGATCTTGTCTAAATACGTTGTTACAGTCGAAATGTCTCAAGCAAAATAATAAATTAAAACACCCAAGCAAAGGCTTTCCGAGAATACAGCCTGTTAAGCTTCAATTATAAATTGAATCAAGGCTGYGGTGAGGTGCTATCAATCTCTATCAAATCAGATGAAAAAACACTTGAGAAGTAAATTTACTTAATTTGTTCTCATGGCATAGTTCRGATCAAATCAATCACGATTATAGTAACGAAACCATTCGTGAAAAGAGAAATTACTTAAACTCAAAAGGGATCCAAACCAATTAGCAGGCGAGGTAACAACATACACGAGTTTGGAGAGCAGACCAAAAGAATACAAGTAGCAAGCTAATCTAGTTAACTGAAATAGTTATAAACTCCTTCACATCGCAGATGGATACCATTTTCAATAACCAGTATTTCTAACGAGATTGCAACTTTACGGTTTCAAGCAAAAATATGACAGTTTTCCGACAGTTCAAAATAGTCAGTGCGCAGAAATTTTGTTCGGAAACTTCTCTTTCTGAGTAGTGCGATTGGAGAAGTTCTGGTTGCAGAAATTTAAAGGTTCTACCTTTCCGCCTCTTTTATGAGAAGTGACGAATACAATTTAATGTCACACGGCACGAAAAAAATATGAATTATCACTGGATATAAATAAATTTCAGCTTAATTCAAATTAATCAAATTTCTCTCGAAATTGAGATTGCGACAAAAGTGGGCTGGAAGATAGGATAATGCCTACAACAGCAGTTATTTTACCAAAACAAAACAAAAAAAATAATAATAATAAAAAAGTCAAGTAAAGCACAGTTTAGTTTTATTATTTATTAAGCGCCAATTGAGTACACAAATTAAAAATCCTCCATAATATTTGCACAGAATATTGCCATAGTTTTACGACACTAATTTGATTTCCCTCTCTTTTTCATGCTGCGGACAATTAAACAACGCTGCATTATTCAACGCTAAAAAATCCGTCAAAACAAATACAACAACAAATTCAACTATACAAATAACACCGTAAAACGGGGTTGCCACATTTATGGCTCCGACCGCCGCCAATGTGCCCGCAAACAAATTGGAACCACGTGAAAAATGCACGCAATAAATATCAATGCGGTCCGTTAATCCAAATTAAACTAACAAAAAATGCGAATGAAAATGCGATGTGAAAATAAAACAAATGCGAATTATGCTAATAAAAAAATGCAAATGCAAATGGGAAACATAAACTGCTGGCGCCTGTGCTGACAACTATAAATTAACGGCAAATAAAACATGCACGACGTGCCACTCGAAACAACCGTGAAATATGAAACAACACAAAAATACGAAAACTCAAAATGCAAATGTGTTCGTGGGTGTGCAACAGGCAATGTTTTTGTAATAGCGGCAATTATACTGGAGCGCAACCTACAGAATTTGGGCAATTACTTGGTGGTCTCGCTGGCGGTGGCCGACTTGTTAGTGGCATGCCTGGTGATGCCACTCGGCGCGGTTTACGAGGTAAGTGCCGCATAAACTTCGTGCGAAGCGCGCTCTGTCCGCTGGCGACAACCGCTGGACGAGTGAATAAAAAAGGCATTTAAATTATCATTCTTTTACTCATTCAAAATGCGATGTTTATTAATATGGATACCTAAAAAACAAAGAAGAAGAAGAAACGCGCTTACTAAAATGTCGCCCTAACTTTGCCACAATCCGTACACAATTCAGAACATGGTGACGTAATAAAATTTGCAAATTAAAACGAAATAAAGCTTTTATAAAAATATTGCCGTGAAAAAAGTTCACCCCTCCTGGTTGCCACTCGACCGAAAGATATTTACCCGCCATGCATATAAATATTAAACAACCGTTAAACCTTTGTTTTATGAAGGTATTGTTTTTGTCTTTCATGCAGATTAGCGAGGGTTGGATACTTGGCCCGGAGCTATGCGACATTTGGACTTCGTGCGACGTGCTCTGCTGCACAGCGTCCATACTGCATCTGGTGGCGATTGCAGCCGACAGGTAATTTGCATATTTCCGCATATTCATAATGAGCCATTGCAGTTGGGGGATTTTCATTAGCGACCACAATGAAGCAAATGTAAATACAGAAGTGCAAAGTCCCCTCCCTCCATCTACCGATATGCGATTATGCATTTTTAATCTGTGGATGAAATACTACTCGAAAGTGACCGTACACATTTTGCTATCAATAAAATTATTTATAAATATTTATTTAATGTGAGCGGAATACTTCCTTTTCGGCAGCGAAATTTTAATTTTCGTGGCGCAAAACCATTTTTATTATTCACGTACTATACTTTCGATTGTGGTAAAATACTATAATTCCCCGACTTTTGATGTCTACTCTATGTATTCAGATATAATATTTATGATGAACAGAAAAGAGTGGCTCCGATGACCAAAGGTCTCCAGTTCCAGTTAATCAACTTTACATAGCGTAGACTAGTATTACGAGCATTTTGCTCAGACCAACAGACCAAACTGATAAATAAGAGAGGAAAGCGGCCAATACTGGTCAGACTGTGATACTACCCACAAAAAAGTCTAAAGAGTTGAATTGTTAAATTAATATTTCATAAACACCAAAGGAACCAAGGGTTCTGCTGGAAATAATGCTAACATATACTTSACTATTCGTACAGCTGACTCAAAAGGAGCTCTCAATCTTTTAATAGAAGGGCCATATTTGTACGTATTCCTATATCTTTCCATAGATTCCTACTTTTTAAGCGAAAAAACAGAGAAACCTCAAATTTAATGAAGAAAGATTTTATCATTCGAAAAACTCAATTCGAGTATTTTGACTGATAATTGGCGATTGGAACGCGTAATGTTTCGCTCCATTGCCGGAATCGAAGCGGAACTGTCCGCATAAACTTATATGAGACAAATACAGATATATACTTATTGAGCCAAAAATATCGGATCTTCTTGGAACTTTTTAAGAGCCTATAGAGCAAAGCGATTTCGCTGGGAAAGGTCAGGTGGCTTTAGTTTTTGCAGAAGTTGTATTTTGAACGCTTTGAATTTAAGATCTCGACGTAAAATGCGCCAAGTCGTTCCAGTCAGTATGTCAGTCCGAGGTGCTGCGAACGGTGCCGAATCGACTTTCAACGATCTTCGTGTACACTCTCAGCTACGGCTGTTTCATTTTTCTTCACTGTTTTCTGGACGTGGTCTATTCTTCTTCTTCTTCTTTACCGGCGTAGACACCGCTTACGCGATTATAGCCGAGTTAACAACAGCGCGCCAGTGGTTTCTTCTTTTCGCTTTGTGGCACCAATTGGATATTCCAAGCAAATCCAGGTCGAATACTTTCAGATATGGAGTATTTTCGTCCGCTGTCTTTTAATTCGCTGCACTATCTCAATGTCGTCGTATATCTCGTACGGCTCATCGTTCCATCGAATGCGAGATTGCGCAAAGGATCATAAACGTGGTCTATTCGGTCGAATATTATCTGATATTGAACGCTGGGCCTCAAGATTGTTGCGATTAGCTGCGATTGTGACAAATCAATGGACGATACAGTTGAGATACTTTATGTTTAAGCAGCCATTTTTTTAGAGAATTGTGTACGAGCCTTTACATTTTTTTCTACTTGTACTCAGTCTAATTCACCATTACTATTTTTGTGTTTTTCTTTTGTAATTTATGAATTCGAAAAGTAGAATGTTTTCGCACGCTGAAGCTTTAATTAATATTAGGCTACATTTCCCACTTTGAAAAAAAAAAAAAAACACACAGATTCCATTTATCGCAATAAAAATGTTTGAATGCGAATATCAGCATGGACTTAATGGAAAGTTTTCACTAATCGTAATTTATTGGCCTCCTAAGACAACAACAACGCAATTTGTAAACTTTGCTTTATGCAGTTAAATTTACGTATAGAAGTATGTATGTGTGTGTATCGATGATTTGCTGCAGCTGGCATTAAATAAACACTATGCCACAGCAAACAGCAAATTCCTAAATCAGTTATTATACCCTGAACAGGGTATATTAAGTTTGTGAGTTTGTCACGAAGCTCCCAGAAGGAAGGGTCGGATACCCTATAACGTATATATATAAATGATCAGTATGTCGAGCTCATGTCGAGCTGAGTCGATTTAGCCATGTCCGTCCGTCTGTCCGTCTGTCTGTATATATACGGACTAGTCCCTCAGTTTTTAAGATATCRTTTTGAAATTTTGTAAACGTCATATTCTCTTCAAGAAGCTGCTAATTTGTCGGAACTGCCGATATCGGACCACTATAACATATAGCTGCCATACAAACTGAATGATCGGAATCAAATGCTTGCATAGGAAACTTCTTCATTTGACAAGATATCTTCACGAAATTGGGTATGAGTTATTGTTTATAGAAATAATATAATATCAGAATGGAAAAGTCGTATTTTCACGAAATTTTTAATGGATTACTGCTTAAGATAACAATATAATCTCCAAAAAAACTGTTCAAATCGGATATGCTATAGTAATAGCTTCCATACAAACTGAGCACATAGTTCCTAAAAGAAATGCACCTGTGCAGGGTATATTAGGTTCGCTGCAGCCGAAGTTAACGTTTTTCCTTGTTTATTTACATTTTATTATTCAATTTATTCTGATTGAATTATGAGTAATTGTAGCGACTCTATTAAAGCCATAAAGCTTAAGCATCKACTTTGCCCACCGCCACAGCGCTTATAATTAATGTCAATCACCGAAGTCGGCGGGTTAAGGAGGTGGGCCTGCGTGAGAGCAAGCGCCGGACAATCCCTTGGTTTTATTGTTGTTGCTGCTACGCTCGCCCACTGCGAGTGTGACATTCGGCTGTCAACTGAGTAATGATTACGAATTTAWTTGCGATTTAAAGTGTTTCGRCGAAAGCGTCTTTATTTGCATTTGAAAGGAAATACTTTAATGTCATTTTCAGTARCTGAGAGATATGTTTGTAATTAATTACAATTATTTTCAAATAATAGTGATATTTATGGCTGCACTCTCAGCTTAGCTCATGTTTTTTTATACAAATTTAATTTACTGCTCCTCGTCGCACACACCGACACACTCACAAACAGACACAAATGTGCGCCTGTTCGTACTGGTAGCTTCCAGAGCCGGGCACAGCTGTTCGCCGTTGTTGTCGCTGCCGCCACGGGAAGAACACAGCTGGGCGACAGCATGCCGGCCGCGGCGTGTAGCCATAAAAGCATTAAAAATTTACAAGTGGATGAACAAACAAACACACACATTTCTATGCAAATGTTAGTTTTACGATAGACAAATAAATCGTCCGATGAAAATTTAAATTTGTGCTTATTTTTCGCTATTACAATTTTGCGCTTTTGCGCAAAATACTTTCATGGTTAATTTCAAAAGTCACAGTCAAAGTCAAAGTCACTCACCTGTACTGCTACCTGGCAACAACAGGAACAATGAACGTACAAACGAAGCCCTCACACATATCTGACATAGACGACCACATTTTATCAGAACGCCAAAAATTTCTGCTGTACATACAGACGAACTGAGACTGTACCTACAAATTCTAGCAGTGCCAATAAATGTATAGTTGATTCCCAGCAAACGATAGTAGTGGGTGTCAGCTGTTAATAGCCACATTAGTTATATTCGTATAATTATTTATTTACCCACGAACCTCTAACCGATGAGGAGACTACTCTTTTTCAAACATCAAAAAGATGTTTTTTCACGATGAAAGAATACATTAGGGTAGAATGGACACAGTAACCACCTTGGTAGGGATCGGGGTGCATCTAAAACCTCTGCCGTACTTTGCAACTCCACATTGAGTGTTCAAAACCCTCTGACCGCACTCGGGTGTTAAACCACAACCACCACGAAACTCCTAAAGGGGCCAGACCACATAAGCAGATTGGAGCGAACTCCAACGGCTCCTCCTCTCCGTGGTACCAGTACCGGTAAGGCCTCGAGTTTCCATACTACCAGGGGTTAGACGACATACTCTCATTACACGCATCCACAAATCACACCTTACCTAACATTAAGTTTCAGCGAATTGTCTGCGCTGCCTAAATAACTCACGCGCAAACCTTTCAAACGTCCCTAACAGTTCGGCATTCCAACTATTGAAGATCACACCGCTGACATCTAGCCGTCCATTTGTATGGGTAGCAGAAAATATCGTTTGTCAACACAAAAAATTGTTGGACAAAATTTCTCATCTGCGAAGAGCTGCTGAATTGTATCAAAGTCGATTAACTTTGAACTGTATAGTTACCAATGGTCACATCAGACACTAATGACAACATTAAGTGCAAACGGCTCAAATGGTGACCAAGAATGAAGTTACGGTCCGAAATGTTTTGCATTTATTGGTATTGGCAGGGAATAATCTGCTTTAAGTTGATTCAGACCTGTACTTGATGAAACAATCAGCAGAAGCGGCCAACGGGCAATAGGAGAAGAATAATGCTACTTCAGGCTGACTTCTGGTAGTCGATAATAACACGCCAAAAGCTTAATTGGTGCATCCACCTTAAAATTGGGACTTAAGGCTTAAATTAATAAATTATGAAATTCCTTTCAAAATTGTCAAATATTCTTCAAATTACTGGGTACTGCCTGGCATTGCCATACTAACTATTTAAATGCCTTCAGAAACATTACCGTAATATCTCTTTCTTGCTCGATTTTGGTTTACTGGGTAATAATTTGATTATTTTTGCTTACTGGCGTGATGAGCTATCTGATTTATTGTTTTTAGGCCAAAAGTAATTTGAAATCAAAGCGAATTTATTGACTGCAATCAACAATCCATGGGGATGTGTGTGCCACAATGCCCTGTGCGTATACACACATACACACAAACTAATTTATTGACACAAACGCACATAAAAAGGTAGCTAATCACTCATGCAATAGGCGTTATTTTGATTTTAATTTAGGAAATGATGGAATRCTTTTGTTGTCGGAATGGTGAAGGGCTAGTTTTAATCTGAAATTGACGATTATGACTGCAAGAATGACATTTTAAATTACTCGAAAGGAGGATAGTTAGGTTAAAAGTTATGCTTCTACACGCAGCAAAGTTATCCGGAAAGAAGGCTGGATATCGCCAGTTAAAGTAGGCTGCTGTCATGAAAACTAAATGAAAGCACGTAACTTGAAAACAGAGGCAGCGATTGGCAATATATAATATTTAAAACAAATTATTATTTTAGCGCATTGGAAAGCAAAGACCCCATTTACTTATGGAATGTACTAAAGTAAGTTTACCCTATTCACCATTCTGCTCTCCTTCCTTGTTTTCAGATACTGGACAGTCACAAACATCGATTATAGCAACGTCCGCACGCGAGGTCGCGTCTTCTGCATGATATTTTGCGTTTGGTTTACAGCGCTCATAATCTCGTTGGCGCCGTTGCTCGGCTGGAAGGATCCGGACTACATGCAACGAATCGAAAGGCAAATATGTATGGTTTCGCAGGATGTGGGCTATCAGGTAAGAGCGACCACCGCCCCAAAGCCACACAATTTGTAGAACTATGTTGGAAATTGTCAGCTATAAATAACAAATCGTTTTCCACTTATTTGTTTCGCTTTAAGATTTTTGCAACATGTTGCACATTTTATGTGCCGCTTTTGGCCATACTGGCGCTCTACTGGAACATCTACAAAATCGCACGCAGACGCATCCAGCGACGCATCCAACAACGTCCACTCCCTGTGGCACCTAGTCATAGCCAGGTAAGTGCCGCCGACCAGCAACCCGCCACCACCAACGTTGCCACCTACGGCTCGTAGTTTTTTGTGCGTGTTACCACTTTACTGTTGCTTGTCGCCGCCGGCAATCGATTGAGTGGTGGTCTGTAGGCAATCATTTTAGAGCTCTTAATGGCATTGCAAGAACACAATCAATTTATTGCCGCCACCATCCGACCCCCACTCGCTTCGCATTGGCCGGCAACATTTTGCCGCCAGAGTTGCACACGAAATGTAGCTGCAATCAATTGACGGCGCCTACAGCTGTCTATTCATCATATGCTCACTTTGTGGCCGCCACTGTTCGCAGGCTTTCAATGAAATTGCCCGTGACCCAATCTCATTGACCCAGTCGTTGGCATTTGCAGCAAATTGAAAGCGTTCACCCATTGCGTCGCTTGGCGTCTGCCACAATGGCATTGYGGGTCCACATGTGCAGCGGCGCGTGCGAGTCAAGGCAGAACGTCTCTAGGCATTACAGTTATTTGGTTGCATATAAACATTGTTGAGAGCCAGCTCTGGAAAAACCGTGCACAAATATTGGAATCTATTTACTTGTTGTGCACTTTGCGAAAAGCAACAAAAAAGTGCAGTTTAGTGAATATGAATGATGGGTATGTACTTTCACGGCTAACGTCTGAACTCGCTTTGGCCCATATCAAAAAAGTGCATAATCTGTKCAGTACCTAGTCTCCGGAGCCATGCAACGCCGTCTCATTTGTGGCGTAATTGCTTGATTAGTGAAGCGACACATCGGCTTTACATCTCAATGCTATCCAGAACCTCAAAAGATCTCAATCAACAAACAGCGGTTTATTGTGTTACTCGTACAAATCTCATTTATTTTTTACTATTTGTAATCATCTCAGCTTATTTAACTTCATAAGGTTTTCTCAAGTCGGATTAAAATCGAAACCTAACCTTTTGCTATAAATGTTTTCCCATAGTGATTAGATGGTAGATAGGGGCTGAGCAAGCAAACTATAATCAGATTTAGTTATTACAAAAAACTTAATTTTTCACACGAATGACAACTTTTCCATCTTATGGCGGGTCTCCCGCGACTTCGACTTCTTTGAGGATTCCAGTCCAGTGCTGTTTTTGGTAATGTCGTCGCAAAGTATGACTGATCTATTTATATTTACGATTACGCCCCATTACCATATGAATCGTTAGCGGTTTGATTGGGTCCAGAATACCAGCATAAACTTTCGAAAACTTCAGCAGACTTCACGAATGATTCGAATATTCCTTCCCAAGTACGTTTTTGTTGTTATAGTAATCATCTAATTCTCGCTCGGGTGGTTCGGTTCGGTGTAGTTGTCATCGAGAGCATCTAACGGTAGGTCAAGGAAACGGGCTGGTTCCACGGGGTCGGACCATAGAGAGAAGTGAGAGGGGTGCTAGACGAGTGGGGTTCGCTCATTATACGCTGGACACATATTTGGTATGTCGGTGTCGGTATCCAGAATGAGTAGTGCATGGGTCGATCTAGATTATCGTGACAACTCAAGCTCTTCATCTGCGATAGATGCTGTTTTGACTCCAAATACGAGCAGATCGGTTCATCAGTCTTCCGAGCGCTCTTACAATATCGGAATACATTGTACTTGGAAGACATGTCATTAAATAAAATGATTCCCATAGTCTTCACGGGTCCTTGAAATAACGCCTCTTTCGAATATACTCAACTATTGGCACATCTTGTCCCATCCGCATCGTAAAAAAAAAGCTTATTTATAACCGTTAAGCAATTATTGAACTCAGTTCATTTGTTGATTGATGCCAGCGAATCACTTCAGCCCCTCACTGCCCATAATTGCCATAATTATCGGAGAAGCCACACACGTGGGGCTTCCACAGAACCATGAACTACGAAAGTTGGGGTGGCGCGAACATATTTAAAAGTATTCGAGAGTGCCAGTGCATATGTGCCCGGTTGGAGTGTTTTGTTTTTCCATGTTCAGTAGCCATATACAATCATAACATCGCAAGCACATCAATCTTATCTGCCGCTTAGGCAAGCACTGATAAACCGTAGAAAGACATTAAACCAAAGAAAGGAGAAAATCAAAAAATATGCACAGAGTAAGCACTTTAACAGCTCGGCGTATGGGGAATGTTGCAAAAACGGAAGAAATGCGAAATGGGAGAATCGGAACCACAATACTTTGCCAACAGCTGCAGCATAGTTTTTATTGTTTACATCCTTTCCATTTCTTCATTCTGTATTCTCCTTTGTGTGCATCTTCAAGCACCCTTCTGGCAACACACACACACACTCACACACATGGACGGACGTTTTTTGAAAGTGCTCGAGTAGGCACCTTGCAGCATCCCCTTTGTTATTCGCCAAACAAATAAGTTTGCATGCATTACAAGCCTATTCACATGCAAAGTGCAAACAGATCTCATAAATTAGTAAAAGTACACTCAGCAGCTGTGCCGACACGTTGCCGGAGCGCGGCGAACAGGGGAAATGCAAAAATGGAAACATTCGCAAAGGAGCCGAGATGAAAACATTACTGCTTGAGTGGCACAAAAGAGGAAAGAAGAAGGCGGGAAGAAGGCTATTTTTTCAAGAAGTTTTTCAGCAATATCTTTCTGCTGCAGCAACAGACAATTGCCCGGTTATTGCTGGTGTTGTTCAGCGCTCAATGAGRCTTTTTATCGCTTACGCTGCCGCTGTGTGAGTCGACATATGTGTTTTTGCACTTTTTTCGTGTTTTTCTCACATTTTGTGCTTACGAAGACAACTACATGTGTTGGTGGCTGCTTTCTTATTTCGGCAAGTGTGTCATTAAGTGAAGTAATGATGCCACTTCAACGGGGTGCATTAAGAGGCTTGAGCATGCACTCAGCCAAGCAAGTGTCGCTGTGTGCGCACATTCGCACACAGTTGAGCTTAAGCAAAGGAATGCAAATATGTACATGCTTTAGGCAGAGCATAAATAATTTTCTTAACATCGGAGCCGTAAGCAGTGTGAGAACAAGCGAAAATACAGCTCAGCGGAGTGGGCAAGAAAGGAAAGTGAAAGCACTGGCTGTAGCTGTAATTCGGGGCTTAAGCGCTATGTTAAAGAAGCAATGTACATCAGAAGTCTTCTTCGCGTCTTCGTCAGCCTCCAAGAACGATTTATTTTATTTATCTGCAGCAGCAGCAGCTGCCAAATRTTATCTTCGCCTTCGTTCTGTTTTTTTTTTTATCGCAAGAAAATAATGGCAGTCATATCCCACCGGAGCTGAAGAAAGAGCTTAGCTTACATGCCCCCCAAGTACTTGTCGCTCAGTCTGCGTGTRCAACGCGTCTGTACAATCATGCTCCTTTATCCTTCTTTATTTTGAATCGATAATTTAATACGCTAATGCTTTGAGTCTATTAAACTTTTTCCACTTTCCACTTTCTTCATTCGTATCTCTCTCAGAAGTGCTCCACCGCTTCGATGCAGCGCAAACGTAAGCGCCTAAAAATATGCTTCGGCAAGGCGGAACAGAACGCGGCTGCCGTCGCCAGCAACATGGAAACGAACGTCGGCAACTCGCTCAGCATCAGCAACATGCGCGARGAGACCGAGTACAGCACCAGCAACTTCGATAGCAAAAGTCACGCAACCGAGGTGACAACGGCCTCGGGGGAAGCGGAAGAGGTAAGCGTTCGGAAAATATTCCACAAAAATTTCAGAAACAAATTCAACAGTCGGTTTCGTGTCAGAAGCACAMCGATGAAGTTATAAAAGGATCAATGAAAGGTTAGACTCCTCACTTCATTTTAAGCTATTGGCTTATCGTCTATCGTCTTAGTATGCGTTTAATTTAGAACTGGGTATCGGTATTTTATTTATGCGCAGGCGRTCGGTAATCAAATGCCAATAAAGCAGATATTAAGTGTAAGGATAAAAGGTATTTGTTGCTAAGCAAAAGAATATCCTTAGAAGGGCATATGTATGTGTAGGTAGTACCCGGTCCYTGGTAAACATTGCTAATCATGCACRGGCAAGCAATATACAGTTGTGYRTGTKGGAAACAGTTCGAATATTAGACTTTCCGCCTTGTTGGTGACCATAGCGAAATATTTGAAAACGCAGTGCTTTTGTTGATTAAGAATACAATCGGAACCCCTTTTCTGAACGATATTAAGTTCAGTACTCCGGGCGCAAAGAGGAAACTCTGTCAGATATGTGATAGCGTATGTTCTGTATAAATATATGAAGATGTTCATCAATTTACCGTTCCCTAAAATATGCAAATATTTTTCGAAAATAATCTCAAGTATCAAATGGTGAACATTTTTTGAAAACAAAAAAATATATTTAAAAAGAGGAACGAAGCAGAATAATGACCGCCTATGGAAATGACGAATAATAAGTCCAAACACAAATGTGCTGATACAGTGCACAGCCATTTTACAGGGTTGTCTGGAAGTAAGATTTGAAAGAATTTATTGAACCAATTGGTACAGCTCTTCAAGGCATTCTCCGGAATAGCCTTGAGAGCCGAGGTTCATGCTGCTTGGATTCTCTCAGTCGTCCCAAAATGATTGCCTCTCATCGGCCTTTTCAGGCACGGTAACAAAAAAATCCGGGGGGCTACATCTAGGCTGTAGGGCGGCTGGGGAAGCTTTGGAAAGCCGGCCTTGGTTATGTAGGTGTTCACAAAAAAGGCGGTGTGAGCCAAGGCGTTGTCGTGGTGCACCTTCCAATCGCCTGCGATATCCTGTCGGACCTGATTGACCCTTSGTTTGAGTTCCTTGAAGACTTCCATGTAAATCTTGGAGATGACGGTTTGCCAAGGGGAACAAGTTCATGGTGGACAATGACTTTGATGTCTAAAAAGACAACTAATCGTATACCTCTGCTCTAACCAACGTTGTATTTTCCGCTTGCACCACTCCCAGRAACAGGTCGCGGTAAAATCTTCGTCCTGACTCTCCAGGTACTCGGAGACAAGTTACCAGTAGCTCGTTCGTTAGCTAGGAACACCCTCAACTGAATCCAGTCTTTGCGCGCACGCTCCGAAATACAGTCGCGGCGGACTTTCCGGACAAACCCTGTATTTATAATTTAGTTTTAATTAGTACGCTACAAGTAAGAGGAGTCTTTGAATCTTTGAACATGTCACTAATACTGCGAAAATAACTTTTAGCTTTTATAATGGTCCACCGTAGGTGGTAAAAGGTACTTCATAAAGTTTTTTTTTTTTTTTTGATATTTTCTACCACCGTAGGTGGTAAAAGGTATCGTTTTTTTTTTTTTTTTGATATTTTCTATCACAGAATATAACCGAGTTTATGCTTATTTCCACAACTCCAAGCTTTTCTTTCATATTATTTTCACCTTCATCCCTCCTAAACAGTCTCAAGTCTCCGCTATTGGTGAAATCTCCACCGTCTCGCAAGAGGTGGCCAGCACTGCGCACCAGCAACAGGCGATCGCGATTACATTAACCACATCAGCGCAGCATTTGGCTATCGCCGGTGCTGCCCAGACCACCGCCGGCAACGAGGCCAGGTCAAACAACAAGCTGCTCTCGAGCATACCAAATCCCTACCACAAACTGGCTAAACGCCGCCAAATGCTCGAAGCGAAGCGCGAACGCAAAGCCGCACAAACATTGGCCATCATCACGGGCGTCTTCGCCATCTGCTGGCTGCCGTTCTTCGTCATGGCGCTCATGCTGTCGCTCTGCAAGGAATGCCACATCAGCGCCGCACTCACCTCACTCTTCCTCTGGCTGGGCTACTTCAATTCGACACTCAACCCGATCATCTACACCATTTTCAATCCGGAGTTCCGACGCGCCTTCCAACGCATTCTCTGCGGACGCAAACGCACGCTRCCCAGCCGCAGCGGGAAGATTTGATTCTGAGAGTAGTTGAGTAGCGTGGTCGTTACTTTTGTATCGCCACGCTACAACACATGCAAACGAGGTGAGTCAAGTGCATCCACATGCTCCACAGCCTCGCAAGTGGCTCTGAAGTAGTTGTCCTACAAGCACTCTGTCTGTCTTGCATAACGGCACACACGTATTTGAAAAACTAAAAAACAATTGGTGTCGACAAAACTCAGTCTTTGTTTGTGTTGTTCACTCGTGTTTTGCAGATACTAACCGAACGGAGCACGCAGCTGAAATACACAGCATGTAATAACAGTAAACACCAACAACAACACGAGTAACACCACACCACCAATCCCCGCCCAGTGACTCCATCGATGTTGCACGTCTTCCTCGACAGTTGATTCACGAGAAGTACACCAAAGCAAGCACCGGAAACAAACAAGCAAACAAACGAACGGACGAAAGTCAGTAGGAAGTGGTAGATTCACCTATGGCAACTCGTGTAGAGTGGCGCTAGCGCAACGCCCCGCCCCGTCCTGCGCTTGCGACATTTCAGCAAACTCGCCGCCACACCCTTGACCGCACACTCCGCGACCACTCACGCACGCAGCGCCATTCGATGCACTCGCGTGTAATTCCCTCCTTATGCAAATAACAAGCAACGAAGAACTCTCCGAGCATATGCGATACACAAATACCACTTGAGCAAGTGATGTGACTAGAATGAAAAGTACATGCGGTTGGATGAGTGGGTGTGTGTGTGCAAATATGGCACATCCGCTGCAAATAAACACACAGTCGCCGCACACTCACCCGTTATCCCCCGCGCGGGCGCCCCGAGTTGTAAGTGTTTGCTCATGGAAGTGAACTCGCCTAGAAATTTGGCAGCAATTTCTTTGGTAAGTAAATATGTAAGCGAATAAAGCGTTRCTGCGGTGAGTAATTGACTTTTTTGGCCCCCTTTGTGATAATTTTTTCCTAATTTTACTTTAAATAAACAAAAAAAAAAAAATATGTTTCATCATTCTGACGGATCAAGCACGGCATTGATAAGTCAGTTGGGAATGCCATGGTGTCATGGTGTCATGGTGTCATGGTGACTTCACAACAAATCGAAGTTAATTGAGTGTGAAGCGGAGATTTTCAATCAGCGAATTCCCAGTCCATAGGAAGCGTCAAAAATATTTTATGAAGTAATGCTGCATATTTTTATTTGCAGTGAGTGTCCTTGAGCGTTGTCTTTGCACATTATCATAAGTATTGTATTATTGTTGAACAATATTCATACCGAATATGGATCCGATAAATTTATAAAGAAACTCTTCCGAAAAGTATGCTTGAAGTCTGCCATATTGAAAAAGTCTTCGGATGTCCCGATTCTTCGTATACAATCATTATTACATATGTGTTTGAACCACAATTCATTTTGGGATTCATCGAGTGGTTGATGTTATTTAGAAAGCCCAATTGCTTGTTCGAACCCCTTGCTTCCGCCAAGAATTTTGCCCTTTAAACTCCTGGAAATTATATAATCTAATCATTTCTGAAACAAACGTTCACCACGGTTAGCCGAAATTTCCGACATTGATCGAAGTATTCACGAAACAGTTAGCAATAACGTATAGGGAGGTCACAATTTCATGGCGCAGTCTTTCTTATCATTTCAGTTGAGTGATAAGATTAGTCGTTATATATTTCTCTTCCCCCCGGTCTCAAAAATAAC